TCCTAAGAAAAGGAGCGATGAACCATGCTCAAGCATTTTTTCCTTCCTCTTGTTACTATTACAGAAGAAGGAAATTCTCTGTAAGCACCAAAGATATTTGGCGCCTTCAAAACATTTATTTGCCTGTTTAGGCAGACTAGAAAGGAAGGACGATTCGTCCTTCTTTGGAAGCCATGAACATTTTTCCCTTGAAGGAATCGGCTCTTTGAACAGATCTTCTCAGTATTAAAAACTGATGGAAGACTTGTTGCCTGCGTGTGAGGCAAGTTGTCATCACATGCCATGCCCAAGGCACCTGTCTCACTCCCTTCTGCAGCTGCCAGCTTTTCAATGCAACAATAGACTTGTCCTCATTGAGTCTACGCCTTTTTTCCACTTTGCCCTATACTATAGCTTAAATCTTCCAATTCTCTATTAAAAACAGAATGTTTCTGAAGGATAACAGTGTACAAGTTATCCTGTGAACTCCAAAACCTAGAAACTAGGGGAATTGGGAGCTCAGGAAAAACTTAAGGTAAATCACACTCATCTAGCTAAATCGTCTTTTCCACACTACCCTGGGTCCTTGGGAGCCTGCACAGTTGTCTCTAGAGGGAAATTAACAGAAAAAACATTGCAAAATACTTCTGGTGCTTTCAACTCATGCCATTTTCAAAACCTGAATAAAAACTAAACCAGGCAATCCCTAAATTACAGTCAAAGCCATTGGGTGACAGTGTCATCCATGAAGGGCAGTGCCAGTGCCGTGGCCCATGGACCATGTGTGCTCAAGAAAGTGAAGGGAAAGAGGCTCGACATGCTCAAGCTGGTTGTTCACTCCATTCATCCTTCTCAGAAATACATGCAGAACTACTAAAACACAGATGGTTTGAGTTGTAAAGTGTTACATACTCACAAAAGTGGTATTTGCATTCGGAAAACCAACATGTTGGTTCAGGTTTATTAGATTATCAATTGAAAATCTGGCTGCTTACAACGACAGCTAGCTCAGCCCCTCTCCCACCACCACTGGTCCTGCAAAACCGGACTCTCTTGCTTGCCACCAGCCTCATGTAACAGCTTCAGATAAATTACTCATCTGCTTTCTGTGCCGGCTCATAAGTAAAATTGGAAGGCACATTACAAAGGTGAAATATGAAAAATTACACTCCTAGATGTACTGGCACCATGACAACAGGACTGTACAAGCACCAGAAGATGACAGTGAAGTGTTTCTGCAATGAGTGTTGACCTAGCTTCACAAAACCACCTCCACCACTGCTGTTCCCATTACCCATTTAACTCCACTCGGTAAAGGGAGAAGGGGAGAGGGAAGAGATGCAGTAGGAAACAGCAACAGAGTACTGGATCAAAGGGACCCTCACCATGTCAGGTTTCTCATACTCACACACAGCATAATACAGCCTAAAAGCAGCTTGAGACACCTCTCCACAGTAACACGTGTCCACAGCTCTGGCAATGGCAGACTGCAGGTCTGCAGTTAGTACACATTCAATTAAAAAAAAAAAAAATCAAAAAAACTCTCTCGGTTGGTAATTACTAAAAGAAAATTCAGTTTAAGAAAACTGCAGTGGTAATTTCAGAAGAAAAAGGGCAATAGTTAAAGCAGGTGTCAGAGAAACACACATCATATGCTAAGGCCTGCTTTGATAAAGACAAAATTAATTTTAAGACTTCTTCTGATACCAAAAACACAGGACAACTGATGCCACTGAAGCCTGTCAAATTAGGTCTGATATCTTTTACCTATAAAAATCACCAGCTTTTCACTTGCTTTTCCTTGTCAGAGGGCAACCAAAAAAGTCCACACATTCTTGGAATGACTGTCCATTTTTGTAGAAGGCAGATTATACCACATACAGTGACTACAGGATCAGGAAAATAAGGCAAGGACTGGGCAATCTGCATAATCATCTGTCCCCTTCTCCATCTGCTGAAAGTAACTGCAGCCCCATGAAACTCTCTTTGCAAAGGGTATCTCTAGTAAACACACAGGAATGTGGTGTATGAAATAATATAAAGGACATTTCACAATATATGAGCTACTGAAGTTTAAGGAGGTTTGGTTTTCTCCTACCTGAGAGGATAGGAGAGGCTTTCCTCTTGAAAATTTCATGAGCTAGTGGTGGAAGAGTTAATAAATAAAATCTCAAGAGAAGCAGGCTACCCAATGGAGTTTTAAATCTTACATAATTTTTCTCTGAGGCAGTGTATACACTAGCACTATATTGAGCATAAGTGCCTAAGGTCAGTCCTAATAACATCTGTTAAAGATGATTCCTAAACTCTGTTCTCTTGAGATGCACACATAGTCCCTTCTGCTGCTGAGCCAGCAGTTGGATAAACCCTCTCTCAGTCCACAAAGAATAATTTGAAACTGTAAGGAGTAACCCATCTAACCAGAAGGAGGCAAGGTGGAATTGCACAAAAGTGCCTGATTAAATTATTAATTCCTTTATTATGCAACTGATGTGTTCCTTTAGGACATGGCCATATGGCAGACACCACCATTTACCAAGGGCTCGATGCACTGAGCCCCCAGGAAAATGTCAGCAGCCGAGGAAAAGTTTTCCCCAGCACTAGAGAACCCATACAGTCCCCTCCCTTCCTCCAAGCAAAGTGTCACACCAGGTGCATGGGTGTGGGGAGTGAAGCTAAGGCAGCTGGACCTGAAAGGACTTGGGCAACAGCCCAAATTTGGCTAGAGGAGCTGAAACACCTGGGATCAGTGATAAGAACTGACCTCTTCAAGCAACAGAGGCATCACTGAGGGCATGAAGAAATGCCAGATTTCATCAATCAGGCATAGCTTTGGTCCAACCATACCTTTCCTGATCTACTTGCCCAGAGTTGATATTTTCCCCATCACTTGGATGGTTTTCATTTGTGGGGCACTAGTGGGGCCCAGGCAGGGGAACATCTACAAAATTAAGCTGATTATTCTGAGAGAAGAAATGCAGGCAGTAACAAACCCTACTTGAGGTAGGAGAAGAATAAAATGGAGCCCTGGGTTTCCCACTCCATATCTGCAGACAAATGGGGACAGTTTGCCTGAACACAACCAACTTCTCTGGTGCTACACTGAATAACACCACATGAAAATTTGATCCAAAATTTCCTAGGTAATGCAGAGCAACAAGCTCAGGAGACTGGATCCTATTTCACCATGTGCTCATCCCTTGTCTTCCCGCTCCATAACTCTACTTGCAGAGGCACTAGATCTGATTCATGAAAGAAATGGAGGAAAACAGCCATCAAAGCTCCTAACTTAATTCAAAGGCACTGTGGCAGTTGCTGACGTTTTCCTACCCACATTCAGATCATTAAAAAATACTCAATCCCTACTGTACCTTTGGTACTGAGCAACCTCTCACAAGAGTTATTTTACATCTTGTACACAGGGCCGATTAACGCCTCGGGGCATAATACTGACATACTACCTTTCTCACAAGGCATCACTATCCCTCTTTGTTTTACATGCAAAGAAGGCTACAGAGGGGTACTAGGTAATGACTATTGCTTTACCAGCCCAGTCTCCAGAGGGAACAGCATACCTCATCACAAATCACAAGGAAATACAACCTGCTATGACAAACTGAAAGCAATCTCCCCTCACCCTCTCCATGAGCAGTGTCGATTCTAAAATGAAAGACCTCGTTTAGAGTGGAATAACTCCAAACTGTAATTTGGAGAATATTCTGCTCGCTAGGGCAGACCATAAGCCCCTGATGTCACTCTTTCCGTGGTTTAATAGCTCACGCCATAAAAAGTACTCCATCATTGCAATTAGAAGCTTCACATTTTTGTTTAGAAAAAACAAATGTGGACATGCTGAGCTCCCTGCCAGCAGAGAACCCAAGTCCCTCAGCCAAGAGGTCCCCTTTGCTCAGAGAGGTGGTCTAAGCTGCACCCCTCGCCTTGCAGTTTCTCAGAAGCCTTCCCAGATGGTAGCAGCAGGCAGGTGGCCACCTCCTGCATGAGGGATGGGACCACCCGAGGGGCTGGAGGTCCTGCTTTCCCTCTGGACAGTGTGCCTGTCACTGCTCAGATATGTTTGCTTTCCTGCAGCCCATGCTCGAGGCAGCAAGGAAGATGGTCTTAGGCCTCAAGCCAAATCCTGGGTTTCAGCAAACTGAAATCTCCTGCTGCTCTCTCAGTACAACACTGTGGGCCGAAAGCATCCACTCCCATACCCGCTTTATTATTTTGAGAGGTTATAAGCTCTGGCCCGTTCAAACAGAAAACCTAGAAATGGTATTGTTTATTCACTGCTCAGCTCTTTACAAGTGCTAATAAAAAGTGCATTCCTAGTATTATTGTTATTTCTTTTCTGAGGTATGACCTTTCTGACAGTAGGGCTGTAACTGTATCTAACAAATTCGGTTTCTACTGAAGGCAAATTCCGATGTACACTTACCTTTTCCTATCTCTGAATTTCCCGTTTGGCACATACTGCTGTAATCTCAGATGACTGCCTCAAAAATTCAGTCTAAATGGTTTGCCTGTAATTTGCCTTCGCAATCATGAAAGCTTATAAATTAGTATATTCTACCATCAAACATTAAATTTCCCAAAACGTTAGCTTTCTGCCTCCCTAGTGATACAAATACCGTACATATAAGGCACTTATCAAATGTCACCAATTTACATGGACACTGTTGTATGATTACAATCATAAATGTCTGTGAAGAGAAGCTGGAAGCTAGAAATAGTCCTCTGGTCTGCTTTCTCTAATGGGGTTTCCCAAGTGTTTTCCAAAGATGATATGGTACTGTTAAACCACAAAACACAGAAAATATGGGGCATTATTAGAATAGTTTAAATCTAAGCACAAACCTTGCACAGAGAACAAGTTTTTGTATCTTATCGGCTCAGTCTTACATGATGCACATGGTTTGGTTTACTCGCCCTTGGGCAACAAGAGACAAGCTCAAGGCTGGTCCAGTCTCCATAATAAATCTCTATTAAAGAAACAAATGCAAATATATCAAGATACATACTGTAAGGTACACATTCGTACTGCACTTCCAGGTACTTGTACGTCCCAGGGCATGGGTCTGGAAACACATCAGGGCCAGCAACAACTGCACACTGGGTCCGATTACTGCACCTGAAAAGCAACAAAATGAGAGTCACAAAACAGACCAGACAGAAGGACAGATCAAGAAGCTGAGCGGCCCCTCCAGTGTTAACAAGAGCAAAGATGCAGAAGCCAGGACTTCAGCATCAGCTGGGGAAGCTCACCAGTGAGCATGGAAAGGCTGGTGGTAAATCCCAATGTCTCATCAGCTTATTGCCAAAAGAGAAGAGGTTTGGTGGCATAACCCTTCCCCTCCAAGCAGTTCTTACAGCACCAGGAGCTGTTTCTTTAAAACCAAACTTAGAGGATGAGTCAAAAATACATTTACAGGTACATGATCCTCTAATTCTTGAATCCCAAACTCCATCACAGTGACCTCAATTAACCTTAAATACCAGCATCTGCACCAAACAAAACGTAAAGACTAAACCAACAACAACGGTGGCAAAAATTAATCATTGTGTATTTTACAGCAGACATAACAATATGTTTTACAACATGTTTACAAAGCATTCCTGCAAAAACAGTTATCTTTTATAATACTGTTTCATGCAAAGCAAAGACCAGAAACAGCAACACTTGACCAGGAGGGGAGGGGGGAGGAATCACCAAATAAGCTGTCTAAAATCCAAAATAATATTTTTCATACAAAGCCTATTAAGGAAACCTCCCAGTCTGACCATTCACAAGACAACACACTTGCATTAGCTATAAATGGCTGTTTTATTCAATCATTCTACCCAGCACGGATGCATCTCCTGAGACGATGTACTTTTTCCAAAAAGCAAGCATTGATCACCATGAAGAAGACACACAGAAGGAAGTGACCCTGGCTGCTGCAGGGATCATCTTTCAGTTCAAGAGCACAAACACAGAGGTTGGGTCCTGCAAGATGCTTTTCCTGAGGCACATATACACGTCCATGGGTAACTGATTTGTGCATGTGTAGAAACCCACATTTGCCTCTGCTTTTGTGGTACAAGCACCCCTATGTAAAATTTTAGTGTAATTTGGGTATGCAAAAGCATTTAGAAAACAGTGATTCTACAGCCAAAAATCCTCTGTTTCTTTGTTCATTTAAAGAAAAGAGAAAAATACAATTAGTCTTTTATTTTTATGCTTTTGCATGCCAGAGAGAGACTTCCTAAGGGCTAGACCACTTCCTTTACTTTCTTTAAGATTTTGCCTCCTCTGACGTGATATGAGACCCCTGACCCTCCTGCTCTTCTGGCAGAAGCTGTGACATCCAGCACAGAATTCATTTAGAGCTGCAGTGGAAATGCTTCATGTTTACCTGAGGCTATAGTTTGTCAGCCTTAATGCGGATTTTATTTGAGCCCCTAAATTAAAATTGATTCATTAGTGACTGCCTTAAGCTCCATAATTTCTTTAATTTTATGGAAAGATTAATAAGAGCTGATACGCTTGCTCATCAGGCTGTTTTGCTGGATAGCAGATAATCCAGAGGGCTGGGACATTCTCGTATTTTCTAGTTGAAAGACAGCACTTATCACAGCAAATGAGTAGCGTTATCATGCACACAGAAAGGTAATTTTCTTAATAAAAAAAAGTAACTTTGTCCTCACCTATGCTACTCACAGATAAAAGGCCTGGCTGGGATATCACAGGTAGCTTGGACTGTGCAAGTGGGCAGTCTTCCAGGAGAGGCTTTGAACATCTTCCAAAATTTCACTTTCAACAAAAATCCTTTACTGGGCTCAATGTGCCTTTCAAAAAGCAATTGCACTGGCCTAATCAATAGTCCTCCTGGCTGAAGGGACAGCCCTGGCCACATTACATAGTATAACAGCAATGGATCAAAGATACCTTTCAAAATCACAAGTAAAGAAGCACAATTATGAGGGACTGGAAGTCGGGGAAGGAACAAACACATCTAGGATTCGTCTGTGCATGTTTTCTTTCTGCCTGCGAGGAAGCATTTGTTTTGAATAGTCAAGCATTCCCTTGTATCCATTTTTTTTAATGAAAGAACTTGGACAGAAAAAATAGAAGTGAAAACATGCAGCCTAGAAAGCTCTAGGTTCATAACCAGCGTTTCAAAACTCCGTTTGGAAGCTGAAGGCTATGAACATCAGTTTTAACCTCCCCAGGTATGTGCTACCTTCTGCAATATCACCAGAGAGACTAAAACCATTGAGATACAAAGGGAAGTGTGGGGAACCCAGGGTACTGCTTTAGTCTTTCCCCCCCCAATTCTAGACTATCCTGAAGCTCCCTTTCATACTCCTAGAATAGGGGATGGTAAAGTCTACCAAGAACAGAAACTTGAAAAGAAGGTGAGATCAACCTTGGGGAAGAAACATGAAAACCAAATGCAACACTCCTAAATAAAATCTCAAATACTGGGTTCTGTCACCATCTCTCAAAATTAACAAAAAAAGAGCTAATACAAAAAAACCAAACCAAAACAAAAAAAAACCCAACCAAAAAAAACCCACAACAAACAACATCAAAACCAGGAGAACTCAGCCTTTTCTCTTTTTCACACTCATTTCATGTGGGCAGCAAAACTGTGTCTGGCACTTGGCATTTTGAGTTTCCTTTTATCACCCCAGGCTGAAGCCATGTAGGTTTCTCAGTCTTAAGGGATGAGGACAATTTTGACTAAAATCCTTAAGAAAAAAGCTAATACTATTACTGTCAGACATCAGGCTACAGAAATTTCAAGGGGAAGAAGAGGTAAAAACTACTCATCATTAAAGCCCTGGTTGCTGTGCTTTTGCTCATATATTTTGCCACTTTCACAAGAGCTTCTGGGTTCCTTCAGTTTTGCCATATTTCTTTCCAGACAGATTAAAGGCCTAGGTGACATCAAGTGACATGGAAGATGTGACACAAAAAAGGAGATGTGTATAAGATGAATCTGTAGCCTTGAAAATGAAGGCGAAAAAACCTGTAACATATTCATGCTTACTCCATTCCCAGCAAACCAGTCCATGAGTTCTTCCTTGTAAATCACAGGATTACACGTGGAATATTGGGATTTCATGGCACTTGGGTCTTGGTAATACTCACTCCAAACTCCTGGAAGCTGTGAGGCTCAGTGCTGAGTATCGACCTTTCCAGTCAATGCAACAAGGATCCTTTGTTCTTATCTTTTTTATTTTTGGTTTTGTTTTCTGTCATGTCCCATCTGCTGTTCCTGTCTTGTCCCTCATCCCCTTTTTTTTTTTCCTTTCTAGTTCTTGAAGGAAGGTCTTTACTAACCACTGGAGCTACAGTTTGCAGCAAGAACCAGCACTGTACCAGCTTGAGTACACATGTGTCTCCTCTACTGGGCAATCACAGAAACACCACCCAGGTCCCTTAGCTATACCCTACAAACTGCAGCTCTGCATCACGTTGGATCCTCCTCCAATAGGGCAGGAACAGTTTGCATTGATGGCTCTAGAATAACTGTACTCCAGAAAACTATAGTCACCAATTTTTTTTTTTTTCACACCCATCTACACCTCTGATTACTGCCTTTACACAAGCACTTCTTTTTTCTAGCACTGATTCATCAGCTCCTTAAAAGAAAACCACTTTTCTTTCCCCTGCATTGCTCTCATGCTGCAGCTTTCCTAAGCAATCTCTGGCCTCTTGGGGTATCTTCTCACTTTCCATATGCTGTGATGCCAAGCAAACAAGAGAACTGTGGGAGAAATCTGGGAATTTAGGGGACCAGATAGACAACTTTATGCCTATTACAGAAACAGCTCTCATTTTATTAGTTTATCCAGCATTTTAATGGGAAATGTTCTGGAGACATGGAAGAATTAAAGTAGCCGCTCAAGGGGGGTTTCAGTTCCCCTTGTTGCCATTTATCATGAAATCTGACAAGAAATTCATAGCCATCTTTTTTTTTTTTTAATGTGTTTGTGTGTTTTATTTTGCAGTGTTTATTTCCACCTGCCATCATTCCTTTCCCTGTTGCTCCCTGAAGTGCAAGGTAGGCATACAAGAAAAGACCTGCTTGTCTCAGGTCACCTCCATAATTGCTGCTGGGATTTGTGGACACTTTGCTTGAACCAAGAGTGTCCACACAGCTCACCAAGAGCAACCAAGAGACCACAAATCAAAGCATAAGCCAAGATCTGCATTTTCACCCCAACTTGAGACACTGATGACAACATATATTCCTGTGTGTTCAGGAAAAGAGGATACCCCAAACCCTTCTAAAAAATCAGTCCAAGGTACTTGGCAGCCTTTAATCTTCCATCATCTCATAAACAGAAGTTCATGTAATTCATATATATGTTTTGGAGAAGGAAAAGTGTAAATTGTCCCAGTCACTAGAGGAGGGGAAAAAAAAAGTGGGGGGGGGTCTTTATACATTCTTTCCAGCTAAATTTATTCCTACTTGTTAAGGTCCCTGTTTTGTCTTTCACAAGTGGAAAAATAATCCAGAAGAGAGGTGTCAATCCAGTGTAACACATACGCTGTGACACAAAACATGGATTATTTTTGCAGAACTTCTCCCAGTTCCAGTGGAAAACGACTTTCAAGAGTTTTAATGTGAAGCAGGAGTAATATTTCATATGGCATTTGTTTTGCATTTATAGCAGTGGGACTGAAGGAAACATTTGAGTTCAGGACCAGCTGCAGGGCTCAACTCTGCTTGCAACTCTGTTCAGACTTAAACAAAAAACACCACCAAAACTTCATTTCCCTTCAGCAAACTTCCATTTCTTCTCCCTGGCAACATTTTCATGATTTTTAAGCAACAAGGTCATCTTGTGATAGTGAAGCAGAAACACTTAAAGACATAAACAGTTGCTTATTCCTGCTCTGATATCTTTAATTTTTTTTTTCAATGATGACATTGTTAATACATTTAGTAAGAGACAAAAAAAGGACAGGGGGGGGGGAATTGTTTATTTTAGGTCTTTCCAGAAACCTTAATAGCACAGGCATGTCAACAACATCAGGCTAGACATGTCCGGGTCAATATGTTTGACAGAACAAAAATGCAAAGGCAGCACAAAATAAAAGATCGATCCCGAACAAAAGCTTTTCAGCAGCAATCA